TTTCCATGACAGCTAAGGTTGTGGTGCTTTGTACCATATACCATGTACCATGTACCATGGTGCTATGTACCATGTCAAGAGTTTTACGTGCCTAATGCATGAAGTCTTCACAACTCCAAAAGCAGTACATGGACTATCAACATCACAGAAGGAGAGACTGAGGCTTGGAGAACTGTTTTGCCAAGGCCTCACAACTGGTATGGACAGAAATAAGACTTAAGTGCTGGTCTGTGCGAATCCCAAGTCCTCACTGGGACCTCTGCATCCTACTCCCCTCACTCACACAAATGGTCCCTAACTGATGACATTCAATTTGTGATTTTCTTTTTTTGCTTTATAATGATGCAAAAGCAAGATGCCTTCTGTAGAAACCACACTTAGAATTGTGAACTTTGATATTTTCCTGGGCTAGCAATACGCCATAGGATACTCTCTTGGGATGCTGGGCAGCAGCAGCGAGCTGTAGCTCCGAGTCAGCCACTTGATCACGAGGATGGATAGCCCATACTCAACAGTCCACTGTGTTGCCCAGTAGGCTAGGCATATTCAATGCATTTTCAATTTAGGATGTGTCCAAATTAGGATAGGTTTATTGGAATGCAACTCCACTGTAAATGGAGAAACATCTGTACCAAGTAGTAAGAAGAATATGGCAAGAATGTGCAGGTACTGGGTTCTTATATAACTTGTATGATCTTGAACAAGTCACTTCCCCTCTTCTTGGTTCACTCATTCACTGGACAAGAATCTGCTGATCATCAAGTGTGAGGACCATGAATAAAAAAGGAACCCTGACCTCGAGATTAGAGGTTAGCCTCAACTCTTCATGCACAGTAAGCGTCTAACCCCCCACCCCTGCCTCTGTCACCAGGCAGTCATAAAAGCATGAAATGAACAAAGGATGCAGAAGAGCTCTGCCAGGATACGGCTGCATATTCTGCGAGAAGGATTTCTGCGGCTGTTCGCCACTGCATATTATTTTATCCAGTGAATGTTCCAAAACGTTCTCAATCATCTTCCTATTGTTGGACATTTAGTCCCAATTTGCTGCTATTATGGAGAAGCTCTGATGGGGATTTATCCAAAGGAAATAATTCAAAAGGAAAAAAACCCAGATGCTCAAAGAAGGAGCCGCCTGATCTTCCCAAAGACTGAAGGGAGACCAGACCGTCTTCTCACACTCTGCAAGCTTCAAACTGAATTCCTAACCCGGGGTCTTCCCCACTCCAACCTGCTCCTCCCACATCCTGGCAAGCTAGCCAAGGAACATCTTGTTCAAGTTTTAACCTTCCTCCCTCCTGAGCCTTCCATGTCCCTAAGATGAGGCTTCTCTGCAAGGTCACAATTCACCCCCTCATTATGGGTCATACAACTGCCTAAAGGTCCTTCCCAAACCACAGTTCTGTCATGCTCCTCTGCAGACCAAAACCCTACAAAGGTCCTCAGAGGCTCCAGGCTCACATCAAGCCAAAACACCTCAGCCTGACATTTAAGAGAGACGGCAGGGGAGAGGAGTAATGCTTATTGAGTTCCTGCGATGTGACAGCACTGTACGAGGGGCTTTATGTAACAGCCACAACATAGTCCCTATGAGATAGGTGTGTTCATCCATATTTCACAGATGAGGAAACTGAGGCCCAAGGCCACACTGCTAGTATACAGAGGGCTGTGACCAGAACCTCATTGAAGACCCAAACACAAGCTGACCTTCTGAGTCACCTCCCTGCTTTCCCTGCCTCTCCCCTAAACTACCTGTCCCCCCAACACACACACACCACCCACTCTTCTTCAAAGGCATCTTGATTCTTTTCCCCTCTGACCTGGGTCAGTGGGCATCCTTTCCCTACGGTTACCAAATCCTACTAAGCCATCAGTTCACAGCTCCACGGCCCCATTTTCCTGAAGGCTTTCTTGAGCACCAAAACAGGAATCCATGTTGAGCAGGTACAATAGTTTGTTCTTTATCTTTGCCCTGTCATGTCCAGGTCTCCCAGCTAGGCCTCGGAGGAGTGGAATGCATTTAAGTGGGTGATTGTTTCAAAGTGAACACAACCAAGTATGACCTCTGAGAAGGTGCAGGTCATCAGGAACGTGGCTCTGACCCATGCTGCCTCCCCCACCACCTAGCTGTGCAATCTTGAGCTTGTCTTTCCCTCCATAAGCCTCATTTCTTCAATCCATAAAATGAGAAGAATAGCTGCCTCACAAGTTTTGTGAAGACTATATGACTTGTAGGTGTAAGCCCAGCACTTACACATAGTAAGTGCTCAATAAACTCCAGCTGTCACTATTCTATCTACAGCCTCCTGCCCACAAAGGAAGCAGTGCCAGCCTGCTCCCACCCCCACCCATCCACCCAGGAGGTCCCTGACAACAGGACCTCCTCTTCACAGTTCTGGCTGATGCCCCCAAATTCCTACCCAGGTGATTTCTGCTGGTTGAAACCCTACTAAATGTGGTAGGGGGCAAGTGGCCAATCTATCTACCCCGGGAGGCAATGGAAGCAGACAGTCTGAAGTACCCCCACTCAAAGGGGATTCTGGCCACAACACAGGCCAATGCCGGCTCCTCTCTGAGGGTTCCCAGCCAGTATCTCTATTCTATCTCTATCCCCCAGGACTTCAGTAGTGTTCAGGCCATAGAACCACCCTTACTTCACCAGACCCAGCACACAGACCTCTCCACCTAGACCTGCCCTGAGCCACCAGTCAATGACCCAGCTCTGCTGGACACCAAGATGGTACTTCCAGACCACTGCCCCGGGGTATAATGTCATATTAAAGAAGCTCTGGACTCAGACAGCTGCACTTTCCAGCTGTGAAACCTCAGGCAGGTAACATGACCTCTCTGAGCCTCAGTTTCTCATCTGTAAAAAGCTGATAAAAATAGCAGCAATCTGATGGGGTTGCTGTGAGAGGATGCAAAGCATGTATTGCAGCGCATGACATACAGTAAGCGTCCAATGTATGCCATCGCTCTGATTGCATAATCACTGATATCACTCCAGGTAGAGATTATCATCTCCTTTGAACAACTGGGGCAAAGAAACCCAGAAAGGGGCTCACAGAGATGGAGCTTATTAGAGGTACTTTCTGTCTCAGCCTGTCTAGTCAATGTACCCTCTCCGCTGCCCTCTGGAGGCTCAGGTCTAGAACATCTCTGGGCACAGGGCATCTTCTAGGTTCTGTGTAGTCTAAGAGGGTCCAGGGCCACTGGCTGCCCTTTCTCTCAGCCCTGGTCCATTATCTAGGAGGCAGCTCTGTCCTCTCTTGCTCACCTTGTGAGGAGACAGCTGGTAGGGCAGCATAAAGCCACTTCTAATGGGCAGCCTCAGGCTCTAGGCTATAATGTCCAGTCCCTGGCAGAGTCTATGTGGGGGACAGCCACAGCAGCAGGGAAGCAGGCTGTCAGAACCCCAGACCAGAGGCAGAAGTCCTGGATACATTAGTGCTGGCTCTCCCACTCAGCTGCTATGTGACCTTGGACAAGTCAATCTTCCTCCTTAGGCCTCCATCCACCTTTCAATATTTACGAAGTGAGGATTTTAGGACCCAGCCTTATTCTCATTGGAGTTCTATGGAAGGAACACTTCAAGAAGCTCACAGAGCTGAGCCCAGGGAACTGCCACAAAATTTTAACAGGAACAATGCCCCCAACACTGATACCCTCCAGGACTGCCTTGAGGTGCCCCTGAGATCCCAGTGATCACGCACCAGACCCCACAAATATCGTACACAGGTTTCTGGACCAGCAGAGTCAGCAGAAGCCAGCTCTATCCCTGCTTGGGGCTGGCAGAGCCTGGTTGGGCCACAAAGGCTCAGAAAGGAGGCTGGCACAGGCTGCCTCTGCCGCAGGCTCCATCTGGAGGCACCGGTGGGCCGCAGGCACACAGCGCCTCCATGCTCCACACCCTTGCCTGGGACAGGAGCTTCTAAGGGCACCGTCTTGGTCCTCGGTTCTCTACCTGGCCCAACTGCTGCTGATTCTGGAAGACTCCTAAATGCTGGGGGGAAGAGGAGATATGGCGCAGTTGGACCCCACACAGTCCTGGAGAAATCCTAATTCTAGCCCTCTTACCCACCCACCTTGGGGTGCAGAGGAGGTGACATGTGGATCCAGGAGTGACGGTGGGAACACGTGGTGGTGCTTTCTCCCCCACCAATGCTTTTCAGAGCTCTGGGCTAAAGCAAAAATCATGGCTGGGAGTGGAGAGAGGCCAGCATCCCAGAACTCCTTCCTAGTCCTTGTCCGGTCCTTCAAAGTCCCCATGGACCACTTTGGCCCATATAGCTGTGCCAGTTCATGGCCACAGCATCCAATAAATACTCTGGTGGCTATAGTCACCCCCCCACACACCTGCCAGTCCCCAAGACCCCAGCCTCTTGGGGATCCCAGACCTCCCCAAGTGTGAAGGTAGGTGCCAGGCACAACTGGCACCAGACACAAGTCCTCTCCCTGTAATCAGTGGGGACAGATGATGACCAGGGCAGAGCCAAGCCAGAGTCACAAAAGTCCTAGGGCAAAGGTTCATGCCCCCAGCTCTGGGGGACTTGGAGAGGAGGTGAGATGGGAAGCGAGTGCAGAGTGTGGAAGGTTCTATAACCAAAGGCTGAGGGTGAGGATGAGGGCGAGAGCTCCCCAGCATCCAACCTCCAGCCAAGATAGCAGAACTGCAGCATCGGAAGCCTGGAGGAGAAATCCAGAGAACCCTGGGCCTCCAGAGGAGGCAGCAAGAGTGGCCTTCCCGAAGAGAGTGGGCCCACCGCCGGAGCCCAGCACCCAGCAAGCGCTCATCCTCCAGTCAGTCCACCTCCTCGGGGGTCTTGGGACGGGTGCAGGGCGGGAGAAACAACAAGGACCACCCCCACACCGGCCAGGGGACCAACAGCCAGCAAACTCAGTTCTGGGGCGCACCCGGATTCCCGGGACTGGAGGCTGGGCCTAGATGGAGCGCGCCCCGACCTCAATGCCATCTGAGCCCCCCGCCCCCACGTGCCTACCTGGGCCTGGGGGTCCCCATCTCGGGAGGCTGGGCGAGGGGCGGCCCCTCGGCTCCTCGGGCCCGGCAGGCCGCGGGGCGGGGCGGCGCGCGGGCCGCGGCGGGTTCTGCGGAGCAGCCTGTTCGCGACACCCCCGCCCGCTGATGGATGCCGACTGCAGCAGCGGCGGCGGCGGCGGCGGTCGGCGTGCGCCGGGGGCTGGGCACAGTGCCCACAGCCCCGGGCCCGGCGCCCGACGCGCGGCCCGCCCCCGCCCGGCCTCCGCGCCCAGCCCAGGGGCGGCGGTGCGCCTGCCTCCACACTCGCGCAGCCCGGCCCCTGCCTCCGCCTCCTCTCCGTCCGTCCCCCGCCCTCCCTGGCACCCAGGCCACCCCCTCCTGGTGCCTGCCGCCACTGCGGGGCTGTCTGGGTCCCCCCACCCGGGCCCTGGCCAGCCGGCCTCCTCGCCAGGCCAAGCTCCGGTGGGGGCTCCTTGGAGAGAGTGAGGGGGAAGAGAGAGGAAGGGGGGAGGATCCCTGACTCAGAAGGGGTGACTCAGCCTCAGTGGGCCTCCCATCCCACCCGAGTCAGATCCCCTCACCTCCCCTACAAGCACATCCCAGGGCAGAACCTGCCCGGAACTCACTCACTCCTCCTATCAGGGAGGAGGCACGGCAATTGCCTCCAGGGGAATCCTCTGGGCCTCTGCGGCTGGTGACAATGACCCTAAACGTTAGGGAACTAAGGTGTGTTTGCCGTGGAGTAGGGAGGCTCCTTGGGTATGAGCCCAGATTCCAGGAAGGAGTAAGTGATGGCCAAAGGGCCTGTGTCATAGGTCATGGCTCAAAACCAAGCTAAGCCCTGCTCCTTCCCTCTACCAGCACTGTTAAAACTCAAAAAGCCAGCTGGACCAGGGCATCCCCCTTACTCAATCCACAGGCAGGGGCCTCTAAGTAGAGAACCCTGGAGGGCAGAGGCCCTGGGTGGCAGTCCAGCTCTGCCCCTGGTTGACTGAGTACCCTTAGCAAGTTGCTTCCATGCTTTCAGCTTCAGTTTGCAAAAATGAAGGAGTGGGATGTGCCTGTCCCTAGGGCCCCAGTTATGGGGAAGGCCTAGAGAAGATGGGGTCAACCCACAACATCCTCAAAGATTTCTGCCCACATCGGCAGCCCACAGACCCCTACCCCCTAACCATCACACCAGCCCTAGACATACACATATCTTCTTTCATTCTTCCAGTCATTCCTGCATACCTACTGTGTGCTGGCCACTGTTGTGCAACATAGCACTGAGAGTCCAGAGGTTCAAAGCCATCCATATGTGAACGGAGCCATCTGTCCCCCCATGCTGCAGTTGGCTCAGTTTCAACCTCACCAGGGGGTTATCCATTTCTGCTCTGCTCATCCCATACTCCAGGAACAGGCCTCTCCCTCCTTCCTCACTTCCTCTCAAAGTGGCTGCTCCATTATGGTGCCCTTCCCTAGGTGCTGGTCCCAACCCCAGAGCCTCCACAGATGAGGATATGCCTTCTTCCCAGAACCCCTCAGATAACTCAACATAGCCATTGTGTCCTTTTGCCCCAACCCCAAGGCAGGCCTTCTCCCCTCCGAGATAAACATGAAAAACTCCTTCATCAGGTATCCCAAGCATGGCTTCTCCCTGCTGCCCATTAGGCTCAGGCGTGGGCAAGAGTGGAAAGAAGCCAGCTGCTCCTAGCGCTGGAGGACTCACCCTCCTTCCAGACAGGAGGATGGTCCCGTCAGCCCAGGCCAACTCTCAAAGAACCAGGCATCCTTAAAAGATCTCCTTTTTATCTCCTGGCCTCTAAATTCAGCACCTCAGGAGGCCCCACACAGGCCCTCAGAAGTGTGGCCTTGGGCAAGTCACTGTCACTTGGGTGCCTGCTGAGTGAGTTCAGTTCACATGCCTTTATTCAAACAAATGAATGAAAGAATCCATCAAATTTAGGAATTACACCAGGTGAACTTACTGTTCCGTATGCACATCTGCTGAAAGCTTCCCGACTGCCTGCCTGCTGGTATTTTGTTTCCAGGTTCACTCTCCTCTCCTCTGCTGGCTGGCCTTGCCAGCCACGGGCTCCCAAGTTCCTGTGGGCAGGAGGCTCTGGGCCACACAGCCAAGGCCCTCCCCATTCCTCCTACTCAATTCCTCCCTGGTTCCCCTCCCCTCTCCCTTCCCCAGACAGGATCACGCCCCTCATCCCCTGGGGCAGGGCTGCATTCCCATCCTTCTCAGCCACAAGGAGCCTCTCACTTTCCCAGGATAACTCCAGGACCAAGGCAGGATGTTCTCAGACTTCATTCTGAATTTATACCCAAAGGACTCAATTCATTTCCGGTCAATGGGATCACACCAAAAATTGAGTTTCTTCTGTGATTATTATTAGTTCTATTTCTGTTATTTTCTATGATTATTTTTCTATTTCTATTATCCAGTTTTCCTAGGCAGGGAAAATGAGGCACAGGAACAAGATTCAACCCAAGACCATATCTCTTGAAAGCCTCAATTCCCCATGGAGAAATGCCAGGGGCCCACATAAGGGAAGAGGAGTCCACCCCACAAAGAAGGGATTTTCCATTCCTTAGATGTGAATTCTGCTTCTAACCCTGCCTGTACCAGTTCTTTTTTTTTTTTTTTTTTTTTTCCCAGTACCAGGGATTGAACTCAGGGATGCTTAACCACTGAGTCACATCCCAAGCCTTATCTTTTTTTTATTTAGAGATGGGTCTCACTAGGTTGCTTTACAGCCTCGCTAAATTGCTGGGGCTGGCTTCAAACCTTCGATCCTCCTACCTTAGCCTCCTGAGTTGCTGGGATTACAGACTTTCACCACAGTACCCAGCTATACCAGTTCTTTCTATGTTACTTGGGCAGGTTATTTGACCTCTCTGAGCCCATTTTATCACTTATAAATTGGGAGGAAACTCTCCCTATCCCATATCTGTCACTGGGCTACTGTGACAGGAGGAGTAAATGCTGGCAGATGAGAAAGGACAGGACCCCTTGTCCCCTCTCTGCTCTTGCCTACAAGGTAGGAGAAATTCTTTCTTCTTAAATTTTAACCTACATGATGGAACTTGAAGGTGCAAAAGTCCAGAATATAGGAAGAGATGAATGGAAGTGATTCTCTCCACTGGGAAAGTGAAACACATAATTGTCAGCCACAGGGCCCCAAGGTCGCTGGTGGGGTCAAAACTCAACCAAATACTTCAGGCAGGGCCCCCCTTTGACCTTTCAAAGGAGGAAATCAAGGCCCTGAGAAAAGCAGCAACTTACAAAGAGGTAGTCGGTGGCTTCAGGACTCTCAGCCACTCTGTTCTGGGTGGGCAGGTGGGGTGAGGGGCAGTCTCAGTTAAAGGACTCAATCTGTCATTCAGCAAGTGGTAACGGTCACACAGAGCCAAGCCCTGGACACTAGGGAAAGAGGAACTGGAGCGTCTCTGCCCTTGAATTCACAATCAACCCAGCAGGGAGAAAGGCAAATAACCCAGCACATCAAAGAGTACTGTAAAATTCATCTTACTGCTGTTTTCCGAGCACTTCCTCTGTGCCTGGCACTAGGCACACATTCATTTGTTTAATCACCCAAACAATTCTCTGGCACTGAATTTGCTAATCCCTTTTACAGCTGAAGTAACTGAGGCTCAGTTGGGTTAATGACTTGTCAAAGTTCACCTTGCTAGTAAATGGCAGGACCAGGATGTAACTGCCAGATCCACCTGATGCCATTCTCTGAGCTCCAACCCTTACAAACTTCTCCCTGCCTCTAGAGCTATGCTAATCAATATGGTAGTCACCAGCCACAGGTGGCTGTCGAGCACCTACCTGTAAAGTGGCATGCAGACTAAAACATGCTTAAATGTAAAATATGCACTGGATCTTGAAGATTTCGTGGCAAAATAAAAAAGAACATAACATATCTCAATAATTTTTCTTTTTTTAAAATATTTATTCTTTTTTTTAGTTTTTGGCGGACACAACATCTTTGTATGTGGTGCTGAGAATCGAACCCGGGCCGCACGCATGCCAGGCGAGTGCGCTACTGCTTGAGCCACATCCCCAGCCCCTCAATCATTTTTCTATTCATCATTGGAATAATTTTATTTGTTCCATTTTAGTTGTGTGTATGTTTTATTGTTTTTGTTTTGTTTGAGATGGGAATCTCACTACATAGCCCAGGTTGTTATCTCAAATTCCTGGCTCCTCCCACCTCAGCTTCCCAAGTTTTGGGACTACAGGGCTATAGGCACCGGCCACCATGCCTAGCTGCTAGAAAAATGTGGCTACTAGAAATTTTAAATTGCATGTGAGGTCACATTATAGTTCTTTGGGTGGGTACTAACCCAGCCCATGGGGATCAGGAAAGACTTCCCAGAAGAGGGGATAGCTAAGCCCAGCTGAGTTAAAGGAGAGGTCATGGGGCAGAGGGTATTCTAGGGCAAGAGAGCTGTAGGGCATCTGGCCCCCTTCCCAGAGGGCAGCAGGGCCTGGGTGGGCTGAGCTGCAGCCCCAGGCAGCTGAGAGCTGGGCCAGAGGGAGGAAGCTACCAGAGCCAAACTTTTCAGAGCAGCATGACCCACAGGCCTAGCAAGTTCTGCCTGGGCAAGGCTGTTCTCGCTGACTGTTGGCACTCTCTGGAAGGACTGCAGGGCAGCTGTGTCTGGGTGGGGAAACAAGCAGGGTGGACAAGCAGCAGCACCCACTTGGCAGGGACCTTCCCCCTCTAGCTCCTCTTTTTGTTAAGATTTTTTAAAATATGGACACAATGTCTTTATTTATTTTATTTATTTTTATGTGGTGCTGAGGATCGAACCCAGTGCCTCACAGGTGTAAGGCAAGCGCTCTGCTCCTGAGCTATAACCCCAGCCCCCATCTATCTCCTCTTGATGCCTCTAAGAAACCTTCCCAAAACGCTGCAGCCAGCAAGGACTTCACCTTTCCCAGGAACCTTCCAGGCTACACTTTGAGAACCACATGCTCCTGCATGAGATCCTATTCTAGTGTGGGATGCTGATGATGCCTCCAAACTGCGCCGAGGGCCACACAAAGCACTATCCATACCTAGTGCCGTGTGGTAGGAGAGCTTTGAAGGCAGTGATTTTCCTAGGAAGAGGGCTGGGCTAGAGATGGGAACACTCTTTAATACAGGAGCTGTGTGACCTTGGGCAAGGCCTTACCCTGAGCCTCAGTTTCCCTCTGTACAGTGGGAATAATAGCAGAACCCCCTCTTAACCCTGCTATAGGATGACATGAAAGACTACCCACAAAGCGTGACTGACAATGCTCAGTGCTTCCTTCTCCACCACAGGTAGCTTCCCTAGGATGCCCCTGAAGTCCCTTTAGTTTCTCCAAGCTCACATCCTCACGGTTGTCTTCCCCCAGGAGGACCGCACCCCTCTCCACCTCTTCCACCCATATTCCCCCAATCCATCTCTGCCTCTTGGCCTGCGACACCCTCCTCTCAT